TCTCCGAAACAGTACTTCTTTTTTTTCATAACAAAATTAAGAGCGTCGATTGTTTTGACAAGTTGAATTTTATTTTGTAATTTTAAAAATTAATTAAATTTTTATTGTTTTTTGATTTTCGCAGAGCTGTGAATTCTACGACTATTTCTTACAACGGCATTATAAATTGTGAAAAGTTGAAACTTTTTTTATATGGAGAGGGTTTGTATAGATCATTTGAAGGGTTGGCTTCGTTAATGTTGCTACATGATGTTGTTTTGTTCATGTTGAACCATCCTTACGTGACGTTAACATGAAATTCGATACTAGTACGTCCTACCTAAATACGTGTTTCAAGGGTATTTCGGAACTTAGCAAAAAGTTCCACTTGGCCAGCTTTCTCTTGAGTTTTAACTCAAACATACATTGTTTCGTGTGTCTCTCTTAGGTACGTGAACATCCGGGTGGTTTATTTCCACCTGAAGTCCCGAAGCCCGATTTTAGGCTATCTCTTTTGGCAGCCCGCTTCAAAATAAGTTTTCCCTGGACCACTCGGTTCTACATGGCTGAAATCCCCTCGGCCGCATTCAGTTTTCAGTAGAACAATGGCAATTTCTAGAAGAAATCAGCTGTGCAGCAAGCTGCTGTTCTCATGAAAACCCATATTTTCATGATCGAATTCCACAGTTGCCAAGTGAACCATCCATCACCCATAGCCACTTAGTTACTCGATAACACATTTGTCTAGGGGTATGAAAAAAACTGATAAAAACCTGGAGATTAATATTGTCTGTTGGGCCTCCCAAATACTGTAAAGGTCACATAATCAGAAAGTATTTAAGCTTCAAAAGAAGTCCGCTATGAGACGTGACAACATCAATCAAAACCAGTCCATTCTCTTTTGAGCCCCACTTTTTACTTTACAAAAACAGCAGGTGATTCCGCGTTTTTTCACTTTGCCCTCTTTTTTATCGGATTTCTGTTCGAGCAGGTGTTCCATACAATCTTTTCTATTAAATCCTAAAACGGCTATTCAATTTATGTAATCGATTTACTCTGTGAGATGGATCCCTTTCAGTTATTGTAGGGGGTTTCGGTTATTTCCAACATACCCTCTTACTCATATTGACAAGTAATAAAAACAGTTACCTCTTCAACTCTGTAAACTCGGTGAATGTCAGAAATTCTTTGTTACCTCTCTTCAAAATGTCATTTCACGAAAGCCGTGCTGAGAGTAAATCTTTTGGACCCGAACGGGATTAAACCCTCATCTCGTTTGTGAAATCCTGTCTGGGAAGTACCCATAAGTACTAGTGAGAGATCAAGTTTTTCATGGGACCGAACATTTTGCTTACAACCCAAGTTCAACATGCCTTAGCTGGACACCTTTTTTGGGGGCTCACTTTCACACCCTCTTCTAGGGGCTCACTTTCACACTATGGGCCCAAAAATTTATGGTTCCAAACAAGTATCAAGCGCGAGAACTGGGCTATAAGTCATCAAGACTGTTCCTTTCTTACGGCTACTTTTTGGATCGAGCTCCTATGTGATTATGTGAGCTATGTGAGCTGAACCCGAAAAAAAGAGGTGATTGAGTACACCGGTATCTGACGTTTACAAAGTAAGCAAAACTAGTTTAGTAATCGCCTCAATGATGACTAAGATGTATGCCTAAACCGTGGGCGGAGGAGGTGTAGTTCCAAGTGGGGCACTATCACAATCCACGATTGAAGGATTGCACCTGGTTTGGTACCCGTCCAAGTCAGCAAAGCCTTACACCCCTCCAGAGACCTTTAATTGGCCCCAGAATCGTCTTGGAGGATAAACGCACTGGCATATACATCGGCTGGCCACCACAAGTCAATGTATAGGCCACCTCGCATGCAAATGACACTACGATACTAAATGCAAGTTGAATGCATGGTGCATCTTAAAACGGGATTTCCAAAGCTCCTAAAATAAATAGAATCGTTCGTGACTCTTCTTCAAAAATAATCACGTCATCCTACGTCATCAAAGTGACCTGAAAATATCTTTTAAGAACGGTATTTTTTCAAATACGTTGACGTCAGTTGCTTTGAACATTCCGTGACTGGCGGCGCGTCATGTTAAAGTCCGTATCATATGACAATGGGCAAAAGGGCACCTGAAGATGCTGTACTCGAGCCCAGAGCATGGTCCCTCGTTGAACGGGACGACATGCTGTTCGCAGCAGCTGAACATCTCTATCAATCAGTTGGCGTCATCCCTTCCCTTCGAATGCCCTTTTGCTGTACACAAAATCTTACAATCATCACTCGTCAAGATGGAGCCCCATGGCCGATGACTGGCCTGGCTCAGGCTCGAATTCCGCTCAATGCTCCCCTCGGATTTCTTTTGCTACATCAACGACGTTTGCGATCGAAGTACGTCACACTCTTGCCGTATCCGATAAATGCTCTCAGACCTAACTCGTATTAGCTCTAATTACTTACTTTTCCTTACTCGATAAATGCTCTTTCACGTACTACTGCCTTATCTGCCATGAATGTACTTTGGCCGGGGTTATAGCAGAAACTGAAGTCTAAAAAAACATAGTCGTGGGCAGAAGGAGATGTCCCTGAGATCAACTCAGGGATTAAACCTTCATCCATCCATAGCCCCATTACTTGACTCCAGTATAGTTACTTGGAAGGACAGGTTGCACTCTAAGTGCAGTTGATGACTTCCCGTGCAGCCTCTCGCTAGTGGCACACGGATGACTGCCTCCTAGTAGACTTCATGGCAATCTCTTTCCTTTCAATTTTTACTCTCCGCTTGCGTTTGCTTGGGAAGTAACAGTCAGTGATGGTACAGTGTAGAGTGTACTAGACCAGTGGATCGCCCTCGTTTGAGGATCATGGGACAAAACATTCTTTTCCGTCAGAGCTTTAGTGAAGATGTCTGAACAGTGCGCTGGCGGCCGTCCTGGTGTTTGTTCGGTAAAACCTACGAATCTCCTTGTGTAGGATATGACTCCTAAACCAACTACAACCAAGTTATCGGTGACATCAAAGTAATTAAGAGAATATTTGTGTGCCCGTTAAGCAGCATGAGCTTTGAAGACACAGTTCAAGATGGAAATGTCTACTGGTTTTCCGTACTGCGACAGGCCCCGGCAACTAAGAATACCACATGGAACCTTGCCGTGCCCAGAAACTGCCTAGATAATGCGCAATAAGACTTGGTAATTGACAGCTTCAAAGGCCACACCCAGAATCGGCCGTGTTTTACCATGAAGGAGCTTCACCATTAACAATTTAGCGCACAAGTCGCGGATTTCGTACTCAAGTCTAGGTAAGTGCACAGGACTGAATCTCGTCCGAACCGTTCGCTCATAGTCATGTTATCATATAATACTCGATTTTTTCTACTTCAAAACATCAGAATCTCAAACTTTGCAGATTTTCTCGCATTTTTCATAATCTGTGTACTGTTCTGCACAAACCATTCAATTATGAAGCTGAAAACTTCAAATCATACTTGTAGTGAACTGTGCCCTTGAATGCCACTGACTTTAAAAATTCTCTCGTGGCACTTTGCACTTTTAGGAAGGATTTGAAGGATTTCAGTTTTTCTAAGACTGAAGAATCCACTTTTTTTTTCGAAATCACGTGGATGGGTGATTGGTGTGTTGAAATATCCGACGGTGCCAGATGGCCGCTCGAACGGAAAAGCTTTGAGCTGCCAGGCCACAGGAATTGATGGAAATAATGTCGTAACGTAATTCCACCATTGCTACGGAAATTACTAGTAGATTAGAGAGTAAGAAGGACTAACTGAAACTGTGGACAGCACTTTTTCTTGAATTCGACGACCTGCAGGATCTTGTGGTAAGTTTATCATTTCAGAAATGTGGTTCTATCGTCCTGTCTTATATGGACCAAGAAGAGAGGAGAGAAGGAGCTGACGGAATTCACCATAATTCTCCAAATATGCACAAAAAACCCAAGGGGTGAGGACCTGTATGGGGATCCAAATGGTCGGTAACCCATGAAAACGAGCAAACTCTTTGAGCCATCGGAGTAGGCACCTTACTATCGCATGAGTTTGGAGTGGCACAGACCAACCCTGGAGTACCTTCGGATCCCGTACATGGCTGTACTTGGTAGAACTGCATTTAACTGCTTCCGCAATTGCGGATAAAATTTTTTTGGTAGTGTTACGGCTTACTTGATCCATCAGCATTCAATGGGAGGTTGGTATATGCACGGCTGCTGGCTGAACTCAATTTTTATGTGATTTTAAACTCAGCAAAGTTACAAGTTTAACGTTACCTCGATCGATCTCAGTGATCGACGCTCTCGATTATCAACCAAACAGAATCCTCTTGTTCCTTTGCATACTCTGTTTTCGATTATCTCAGTAAGAATCGAAAATCGAGTAGCATTGCCTAGGCGTATTGTTTACCAACATGATAGAACAAGTGTTAAGAGTAATGGATAAGATGTTCAGATATCCTCATTCTCATTTTTTCTTGCAGATCATTTTTCTCGACTCAGCTGATTCTTTTTTCACTTAGGGGATGCCTGGGTCCCCTCACCATTACGGTCTGGAATCAAACGCCACTTACGTCAACTGACAGTTCCATCTCTCTGGGGTGTGACAGGAAGATGAAAATTGGTTATAAAAAATCAGAAAAGTCCTTTGCTCTAAAAATACCTCTCGTGGCACCAGATACGGTTTCCGGCTGTCTAAAATGAGTAGCCTTACTGTACCAGCCCTTCTTGGAGCAGTTTGTTTTTCGCCGTTTTTGCATTCCCTGGGATCGAAACGGAGCTGTTTTCCGAGTTTACCGTACGTAAACAATAGGATCGTCGGGTTTCTTTCTACTGGTTTGAAACTACCTTTCGAGGTTAGGCATAGTATTTTCCTTATCTGTCTCAATATCTGATAAATGAGCTACAGTAACCTTCATATTTTGTTTACCGTACCACCCACGGCCACTTTAGCAAAAACCTGATTACCCCTGATTTACACGGAATTTAAATAAAAAGAAATTGGCTGGTCCTTATCTCTCAGAGTGGATTAGTTGAGATTAAATGCATATAATGCCCCCGTTCAAAAAGAAAGAACATTAACTCATTACGTAGTATTAATCGTAAGAATCACAAAAAAACCTTGTAAGACGATGTGTAATTTTTGGACGAGTTGTAGGCTACTTACTCTATCGCATTCTAGACATTCAGGTCGACCTCAATATAAGATAATTCTTTCAAATTTACCAGAAAANAAAATTGCAATCTTTGGCAGTTATTACTACTTTCTTGATGGTTTTAACAGCGGCGCTTCATTACCGTAAACCTGAGCCCGAGCCCAGGCGAAGCCATCTCGTCCACAGCATCAGTAGGCTGTCTACCGTACCTTCCTGTCTTGTTTTGTTGTTTTGAGCAACAACAACAACTTTTTTCGTATATGAACTTCATTCGATGATCTCCTCCCCTCCTCTACGTCTTTTTTGTAGGATAAAATGGTAAATTTAGAGTAACCACTGAGTTTCTCTAGTTCACCAGTAGTTAGAGGTTCTGAAAAAGACTTCTGTCACCGAAACCAGTCTAGTAAAGTAGTAATTCAAATCATTCTAGTCTTTTGTGTTTAATCATGATCATAATCACGTGAAGGACGTGCCGAAAGGACAGCCTCAAGTCCCAGCACTGAGCCGGATCAAACCGTTTACACCTTACCTTGGGCCACTGCGGTATTCCTTTTCCTGTCACTCTGTTATCACTCACAGTAGATGTTCCGTAATTGCTGTATCGCTTTCCATCGAAAGTTTGACATGGCTTTATACTTGTTCCTTACTTGTAAATATACCAGTCACCTGCCTCTATGTCTACCGTTTATGTCTGAATTGCTTTCTTCCAATTTGAATAGCTATCTTACCTGGCTGATTAGCTCCGGTAACGACATCGTAAAAAAGCAATTATAGTAGTCGACAACGAAAAAGTTGAGTGAAACACCCATAAAATTCATTTTCATTCAATGAACTTTTGTTTTTGATCTTTGAAGAATACCTACTAGTTTAGTACTAAAAACTAAGGCTAATAGCCTGAATTTGCAGACATTATCAGTCCATTTGTTTGCCAAACAAATGGAGGGTGGTGGAAGATTTGTGGAAAATAATCTTATTATCATGGGCTGTAGGATGGAAGCCTCTCATCACTGAAAAGCTCATTGTCAGTTTATTTCTGATAAGGGAACGCCAACCACCCAAACCCTCCCACTCATCCTTTAAACAGTTCTACAGCTTTACTTGAAATGGAACTGTTGGACTCGGGCGAGTTTTCAGCTATTAGATCAGCTATTACGCTACTTTTGTAACCGGCACAAAGGTTATAAAGTATGAGGGGTGTTATCGAGTCCATATCAGGGACGATTCCAATTAAGCTCGATTGTTTTGAGGATTTCGTAGAAATTCGTTCGACCACTTTCAGTCGTAGAGCCAGATTTTGATGAAGCGGCAGTGATATTTTTACTGGGTACAGGAGGATGGTACGGTAGGCAGGACTCCTCAGGGAAGGACTCTCGTCTGGAATGTACCGTGAAAAAAACAAGTTCGACTTGATCGATTTGGAAAATTCTTAAAATTTTGTTAAAAAATATCGGTGACTTCCCACCACTTAGAATTCCCGGGGGAAATGTCGATGCCTACCCACCCATCCGTAAATTTGTTACTTTGCCCGATGATTTCAGGTTAACGGAGGGTGGGTAAGTTATTTTCTGATTGAAAATCTAGAAAAAAAAGTATCTTACAGAAAAATTTTTCCCGGCCGTGATCAACCCTGACCCTATCAATGAACGATGAAGAAACCGAAGTGGATCGTGCGTGCAAGGGGATCATTAGTGAAAAGGACAATTTCTTGTCAACATTTGGCCCACACCTTGGCCGATATGTCAAAGTGATACGCTAAACACAACGCGCGATGTTGTTATTCAAAAGGCTTCCTTCGTTCTCTCGTTTGAATGCTCAAACATCGCATCAATTATTTCTTGTGTGTACGAAATGATTATGCAATAGAGACGATGAAATCCATGCTGTGTGTGTTGCTGATTCTCATCAAAACCCCCCTTTGTTACAGCGCTATACCAAAAACCTATTCATTCCCCGTTACTTTTACCCGTCATCATTAAAGTATGCACAAGTAAAAGATTTGACGGTTGAGTCACAGCTTTGATAAATGGCTTCAATGCTGTGGACGACCGCAGCAGTCGTTTCGGCAAGCCCGTCAGCTAGTCAGTCAGTCAGCCCGGTTGCACACATAGGTAACTAACTAGTAACTGCAACTTTTGCAGCTTCCATTGCGTTCCCATGGTCAAAATACCTGCAAACCTTTCCATTTCTTTGGGTTGAACCGGGATTTTGGCCGCATCTGGGGACCAACCGATGACTGCCCGAAGATAACATTCCTCCACTAGGTCCGAAGTAACTGGCTAAACTCTCA